CTATATTTCTATCTAACTCAGCTGCCTGCAACACTTCTAACTCACCAACTATGCATCACAGTTTCTGCAACAACTTCTTCCTCTTAAAAATTAAATTATGTCTTGGATTTTCTCCAAAATAACATGAGGAAAGAAATAGTATGGGGTGAGAAGAAATTGATGGGAAACATAAATAAACACTGACCGTATGAGAATTGAAACACTGATGAGAATTGAAGATAGCGAGTGGTACATGAGAATTCCTTATACTACTACTCTGATATGCAGTATTTCTATTTTTCCACAATAAAAAATTGTTAAAACATCTCTTAAGTTTTCTCTGGCTGGATGTTAAGAGTTTATAATTCCCTGTTCATAAATTTTGGAAAGGATAAAAATCAGATAAAGCTTAAAGAACCAACTAGCAGCTGCTCAATAATCAAAAGAACTCTGAATTGATTTTGGCAAGTAACAGAATTTTTTTTAAAAAAAGATATCTTTTGGTTGAACTTGTACAAGGTAACATGGATTCACTTTATGTAACAATATTTAGAGGACATTAAAAGGCTATAACATACTGTTCTAGTATTCACTTTGAGAAATGAAAAACAAACCTTTTGGGCTGGGAATGTAGCTCAGGGGTAGAGTGCTTGCGTAGCATGCTCAGGGCCCTAAGTTCAATCCCTAATACCCCCAAATAAAAAATTCTGACATTCTACTTTTTTCAGAGAATGATTTTCTCTATTTTCCTTATTTATTTGATACAGGGTCTCGCTACGTAGTTCAGACTCCCTAGCACTGTAATTACAGGCATGCGCCACCACACCCAGTTTGGGGCTAGCACGGCATGCAGTATCGGAGATTGAACTCTGGTCCTTGTGCTTGCAAGGCAGGCACTTAGACCACTGAACTATCTCTCCAGCCCAGAGAATGATTTTCAAACTTCAGTTTGCACAACAGTTGTTTGAGGCTCATGTGCCTCTGCTCACAGAATACCTGGAATGGAACCCAGTAACTTGAGAAGCACCCTAACAAACCCTGTTGTAAGTGATCTTTGAAATACAACATTAAGAAACATTGTTCTAAGGTCTCAAATTGCTGGTCCCTAGACAGCATCTTAGAATGGTGAGAGTGTCCCTGCTAGAAACAGAGAATCTCTTCAGAAAGATAAAGGAGCACAATCTCCTAGGATTCTGTGACCATGGAAGCAAAAGACTAACTATATAGAACTGTCTTACAACAATCCCACTGATATCATCAAGAAAAACTATAATATCCCATATATTTATATTCAAAAGAGGAAGGTAGTGACTCCCTTAACCTCTGAAGTTTGTAGAAGCTGTATCTTTTTTTTTAATTTTTTTTTATACTTTTTATTTTTTTTATAATTTTTTGTGTTTATTTCATGTGTGTGTGTGTGTGTGTGTGTGTGTGTGTGTGGCCAGCTCAGCCCACCAGGGGGCAGGGCTGGCTGGCATGTGGTGCTGGGGGATTGATCCGCGGTCCCTGTGCTTTGCTTAGCTTAGCTTGTTCTAAAGTAGGTACTTTAGACCACTGAGCCATCTCACCAGCCCATAGAAGCTGTATCTTAAAAAGCTTTCTTAAATATGATCTTTTCTTAGGAGCCACGCTACAATCCTTCAGATACAAGCCTATCACTTTGTACCACCAGTCATAATTACTGAGAGCTGTCTCTCACCACTTATAGAAATATAGACATGAGACAAAAGCCTAAAGTCCCGAGGGAGCAGAGAGTAATAAACAGAGCCGAAGGAGAACTGCTGTCTCACTTATAAATTCTGAAAACCTGAGATTCAAGGCTGCAGATAGCAGCTTCTCCTGCTGGCGCCCTGTTTGTTATTTCATTCCTTGCTTGGGATGTTAATGGCTAGCACTGTGTAAACTTAGAGTCAGAGGGAGCAGGGGAGATGGCTTAGTAGAATAAGCGTTTGCCTGGCAAGTACATGGGCCTCAGTTCAATCCCCAGTTCTGGGGAAAAAAAAAATTGACACTTCTTTCTAAAAATAAAATAAAATAAACTTAGAGTCAGGTAAATGCTCAAGTCAATAGAGAGAATAGTTTGTGTTCATACAAGTAGTTATGCACATTCCTTGGCCTGCCTTGAGCCCTCAGTAAGTGTGAGATGTTTCTGTGGCTTTGAGCTCAGAAACTAATCTCAGACCTCTGAAACTATACTCACCGGGTCTTCTCAATTCTTTGGGCACCGACTCATAACATACAACAACCACTGATCAGCTGTGTTCCCTCAACCATCTCTCCTTTCAAAGATGGAATACTATGACACAAAACAAAGGGTATTGTGTCATTTCAAAAGAATCATTTACTTTTCCAGGAATTCTACTGTCTTAAATTTGTATTGCTGTAACAAAGTAGCACAGACTGGAAAATTTATAAAAGAACAGAGATTTCTGAGTTTGGAAGCTAGGAAGTTAAAACCACGGGGCTGCAGCTGCTGAAGGTTACCTTATGCATCATAATGTGACCTGACATTACTGAGAAAGAACAAGAAAGAAGAAACTTATTGATTGATTGCAGTACCAGGGATTGAACTCAGGACCTTACACTTGCCAGGCAGACACTTATGCCCAAGAAAGATGAAACTTGTAACCTCAAACCTGAATCCATTCATGAGGGTGGAACCCTCATGACTTACTCACCTCCCTGTGTACTGAACTCCAACACATACTTTGGGGGAACACGCTGAAACCACAGCAGCTCCCCACTCTGTTCAAGACAGCTGGGAAGATGATGTGTATAAACCACCACTTCAGTCTAAACACACATTTCCATGGCATATATTCGAATGCATTTCATGTTTCTATCTTCAAAATCCTTAAGTGAAAACATACTCTACATGGTACAGGGAAGTGATATTAGAACTTTTTACATTTTTTACATTAATCCTCAAGAAGTGATCTGGTTTAATAAAAAAACTATAATTCAACTCTGAAAACAGTAAAGGAACAGAGTAGACAGGACCTTAAACTTCCCAGTAGCTCTCTTTTTAAATCATGCTAGAAACATGATTTCTAACCATTCATTCACAAAAGTCTTATATGTCAGCTTACCTAAGTCTGATGGGAACCTTAAAAATTAAAATCTTGTCACCTCCACCTGCCACCTTTAAAATCCTTTGAAAATATTTCATTGCTCAGAGAAAAACTACTCCCTAAACAGAATCCATACCAACCTTTCCTTCTCCAATACACACCCCTCATGCCCATGATGGCTTCTTTTCTCCTAGTTATATATTCATCACTTCTACTTACCCTGCTGTTGTCTTTTGGAGAAATGTTGCCTGGCAGACCCAAATCAAAGGCTTCATAGATCTATCTATATATGTACCCATTTTTCCTAGCAGTAGAAACTTCTAAAGCTTCCCTGCTCTTCAATTCAATGGTTCAGACTGTTAATATTACCCCCACAAAATACAAAGTAGTATGGGGGGGGGAGTTCACTTTGCATGCAAAATGAAACTTCAAGGGCCAGGGAGATGGCTCAGTAGGATAAGTGCTTCCCTGGCAAGCGCAAGGGCCTGAGTTCAATCCCCAGTCCCACAAAAAAAAAAAAAGAAAAAGAAACTTCATAGTAAAGAGAAGAGCTTAGGCCTGGGAGAATGGTAAGACTTTCTCAAAGATCAGGGCAAAGTGAAAAGTGACTAGACAAAGGAAAGGCATCTGTTCTAGGGGCTATAAATTGTGCTAAGATACATACATGAAGAAAGTTGATGAAAGGTAAAACTTTAGTAATGTTTATCCACACAAAGATTAATGCTGTTTGTATTAATCTACTCTTCCTTACCAGGAAAATAGAAATATCTACAAATAGGAAGATTTGTATTACAATTTTTTTCATTTTTTCTTTTCTTCCTTTCTTCCTTTCTTTTATATGAACTTGGTACTGTCTCACTATTCAGCTCAGACTCGTAGTGATCCTCCTGTTTTCAACCTCCCCAGTCCTAGGATTACAGGCTAGCGCCACCACACCCGGTCTTACAATTTTGTATTTTTAACAATAGTAAGTTTAAAAAAAGATGATCCTTTGTAAGGTCTCCAAACTAGAGCCCCGTCCAGCTAGGAGAGAAAAACTCCCCAAGTAGATCCGTTATTCACACCTTCAAAGTGCTATGTCAACAGCAAGCCAGCAACTTCCGGCAGCTTCCCCACGCAGCTCAACACACAGAAAACAGATTCCACCAAAAACCACAAGAGACATTCTGTGCCTGCTAGCATCCCAGTACTCATCACCGCTCTATCATCTGTCCCTAGACCCCCTGCTCAGAGACCCCAAATTTTGTAACCCCCTAGGTCACGCTCCCTCCCCTACCTAAACTCCCCGATAAAACACGCTTTTGCCTCTTGCTAGGGCCCAATGGTCTTCTCACCCATGGCCTGGTCACACTGGTCGGCAATAAAGTCCTCGCAAGTTGCTTGCTCTGCCTGTCTCGGTGGGCTCAACTGTACCTCAGTTTACCCTAACATCCTTTCCAATGACAAAGTTACATTCTGCTGTTTCTGCTTTTGAACAGAGGGGAAAGCAAAGAGTTCCTCGTATAACTATAATCCTTTGTCAAAATGACGTATTTTGAAGCGGCATATTGATACCCTTACTAGCAGTTATCACTGCTGCAATTTTACCCTTTTTGTGTGTTTACCTACCTCTCTAACCTGCAGGCAATTCAGGGAAGAAACTGCACCGGGCTTTAAATCACCCAGTGCCTCCCCACTTCCCAACAAGTAGTTCAATGCATATTTGTTAGACGCTTACATAAAGGCATTGGATCTCTGCTTCTTTTACTACCACGAAGAGGGCGAATTCATGTTCCCGAGGGATTGCATTTGGTGTATAAACCCTCCCTTTACTGGGCCCTACTGTCCTTGTCTGTGAAGTCCTCACCAGAACCCCAGGGCTGCGTAGGAACGAGGAGCCGATCGCAGACCACCCAACCTCACTTCCTGCAGTACAAGGCTGGGTGGCGGAGAGAAGCAGGGGAGCTTTAAAGCACTGACGTTATCCCCGAAAGGCTGCACGCGCCTGAAGGCTCGGCCGCCTTGGCGCTCCCCTCGGAGACCTTGGGAGGCTGCGGCACCGGGACGCGCGACCCGGCACCCAGCTTCCGCCCTCCCCGTCCGGACCGGAACCCCGGGGCTGGCGCCGGGCAGGTGTCCAGGCTGGTGGCCTTCCGCCGAGGCGCCCGGAACACAGCGAGGGGTCGGCCCCAGCCCGAGGCTGGCGCGCTCCCCACCGCCCCGCGTGAGCGCAAGCGGCCGGCGGAAGTGTTGCGTCGCGCACTTCCGGGTGTTGTCTGCCCGCCGCCGCGCGTTTCTGGTCTCCCGGCCGCCGCCGCTGCCGCCGCCGCCTCGGGTCGTGGAGCCAGGAGCAACGTCACCGCCATGGCCGGCATCAAAGGTGGGCCTGGGGCGCGGGCCGCTGGAGGGCTGGTGGCCGCCGGCAGGAGGCTGCGGGGGCCCGCGCACGCTGGTGCTCCCCGGCCGAGCC